TCCACATTGTTGTTAAGACCAGATTCGAAGTTCAGACATGCACTTGAGCAGACAAGCCCATCTACTCACACAGAACCTGATTCCATGCTTTCTTGTGTAGCACCGACAACAATAAATACTATTGATAACTTGTCCTTAGGAGAGCAGAGTTTGGCTTCTCTGGGGTAATTTTTCTCTGCTTTTTACCCTGGCCCATCTCATGGAGTTGTTTGGTGCGCTGAGACCTGCCTCAGAGGATTTTGAAACAACAACAGACGCACGCAATGGGAGGAATGACCCGAGTCGTTTTGTAAATAGTGTAACAGGAGGAGCAGTGAGAGTCAGGACTCGGCCCCTGGGCTTTCATTTCCTAACTGGACATTGCGTCTGTGTGCTCCTGATGCCTTTACCTGAAGAGAGGACAGTGGACTGAGCTGCATGGGAAAAGACGCCCTGTGATGCCGTCACGGCTCCTTCAGAAGCTGCCCACGCAGGCTGTGGTGAGGAGGCGTGGACTGACATCACCCGTTCTGTCATTGTGACTGCACCCCATCCCTGTCACGAGATCACACGGAGCTCCTGGAGAAGACAGACTCTGAGGAGGCTGACTCACCACCTTGTCCTGGGTCCCTAGGACCCCACTAAAGGCAGAATTGGGCAGGTAGTGAGTCTCACCTCAGATGCATGCTGCTGCCATGGGCTTGTGCTTGAACTTGAGGGCACACCCTGTGGGACTGAAGAGACATGTTTTAATCACACACTAGGGGAATCATATTTTAAAACATTTTTTGTTTCATTTTTCTGATTTGGAAAATAGTATCCTTTTCCCCCTTACTAGATAGACTGATGAAAACATATAGAAGATAAGAAGGACAGTTGAACTCTTTCAGATGGTCTTTGTAGAAGGTAGTGGGTAGTTAAGAGGAAGCATCAGGACTGCAGGTACCGTTGGCAGGATCCTGAGGAGCAGGTAGCAACATTAGAAGGTGACGTCAGACCTCCCAGGACAGACCTGATGGTGCCTGAGAGTTTCATTTGTGGTTTAAATTATTCATTTATGTTAGAATCCATTACCATCAACTTGATTCTGACTCAGTGACCCTATAGGACAGCAACTGCTCCATACAGTTTCCAAGGCTGTAATCTCTATGGAAGTGGACTGCCTCGTCTTTGTCCGCAGAGTGGCTGGTAGGTTTGAAGTGCCGACCTTTCGGCTGGCTAGCAGCTGAGTGTTTACCCACTGTGCCGCAAGGGGTCCTTTTTCATTTATGAAGAAATGTTTAATTTTCCCTTCTGTGAAGCTGGTGGCACTTTTTATTCACCTAAAGCAGTACTTTTTAAAACAAAGTACCCCAAGTGGGAAGGGGCTGCTTTCGGACGTGAAACTCAGGAAGAGACATGCAGTGGTCTCTGAAAATGGCACAGTGGGCTGTTCATTTGCTGCGCGGCAGGAGTCTGGATGTTAGGAGTAGGCAGAGCAGCCTCTGGGCCGTACTCATCACCCCGTCTTCCAGCTTGTGCCAGTGGGCAGCGTCATTGGTCATTCGGCCCCAAGCTCCAGCCTGAATTGGAGGCCGCCCCTCACGTCCTGCCAGCCACAGAAGACTTTCCATCCCTCCTCCTCCTCCTCCTCTTCCTGGGCTCCTCTCTCCCCTGACATCTTCCCTCATGTCCTAATGTAGCCTGGTTTCTCTTGGTCCCTCCTGTCTTCTGAGGCGTCTCTCATTATGACGCCCAGCACTCGGGCCAGTGGACTGTGCTCTCACTTCCAGCCCGGCCTTCTGCGCCCGCAGCCAGTCGTCTCCTTCAGCCCAGCACTCGCCTTCCAGCTCCTGCTCTGACCCCACCACCCCTGCCTGTCATGCCCACATCTTTTCTGCTATGGACCCAAACACAGCCCATCTTTCAAGCCCTGTCCTGAGTATTGGCTCCAGGAAGCAGTCTCTGTTGCCATGGCCCCTTAGGCAGGCAGGCAGGATTCCTCCCCCTCTCCACCCCTCCCTTACTCTTAATTGAGGCACAGAGTACATTCACTGAAGTGCACCGCTCTGGCAGCCTGGTTCCAGTGACTTTGGGATCCAGGGCACTTCCCCCAGGAGGAACCAGGCCAGGCCCATCTCAGAATTCCGGGCCTTAGGAGAGGGGAAGGAGGGTGCAGCCAGCAGCCAGCTGAGGGGATAGTGGGTCGGCAGCCTTCGCCTATTAAAATCGGAGAGGAGGGATGAGGTGTGGCAGGGGATGGGCAGGGTGGTATGGGGGTCAGCTCCGACTCATGGTTGCCTTACGTATAGCAGAATGAAGCATGGCCTGGTCCTACCCTGTCTCACGATCACTGGTATGTTTGACTCCATTGCTTCAGTGGTGATGTCAGTCTGTCTCCCTGAAGGCTTCCCTCGTTTTCCTTTGCCTGCCACTTGATCGGACTTGATGTCCTTTTCCAGCGGTTGGTCTTTCCAGTTGTCGTGTCCAACATAAGCGAGGTATGCGCCCTTATTACCACCGCCCAGAAGGAGAACATTTCCATCACCTCAGAGGTTTCTTCAAGACTCTGTCTGGTTATTACCATTCCTCCAGGGCAGCCCATCCTGATTCTGTCGCCATCCATCAGTTTTGTCCAACAGTTTTGAGTCCTTTGACACTCTGGGGTCCAGCTGGTGCCGTCTCGTGGGAACTGGCATGTCCTTCTCCATGTGTGCTCTCCTGTCCCCCCACGACAGCCTGCAGCATGGGTGTTGCTACTCCATTTGTCAGATGAGCAAACGAAGGCTCACGGAGCTTCAGGGAATTACCCAAGATCACAGAACTGTCCCTGCTAGAGGTGAAAACTGAACGTGGGTTACATCTCCCCCACCACAGGGCCCGTCACACTCTCAAGCTAGTTTGGCTTTCTGCTTGTCTCATTGCATCCGGATGTGACCTTGTAAGCCCCTTGACCGCGGGGATTGTGCCTTGCTTGTGGCGTAACCTCATGGTGCCCTGTAGCACGTTCGCCCAGGAGCAGGCATGGATGAGGGTGTGCTAACTGCTAGGCTCCCTGGAGATTCAGACTGCGAGGCTTCTCTACACAGCTGGGGAGAAACAGTGAGGCCCTGTGCAGCCAGAAAGCTGATGTCCCAGGGCTCATGCTGTGTTCTGCACGTGCGCAGACACACACACACACATACACACACACACACACACACGGTGGAAGAAAGGGCCCAGGAGATGCGTGATGGCTCCACACTGGAGCAGTGGCTTTTTTCCCGCCTCTTCCTGGTTCCCTTGCAGAGCCTGACAGTGAGGCCTGGACCTGCTCCCTGCTCTTGGGTGACCTGAGAGCCAGGCTGGCTAAAATAATGCTGCTGTCCTGAGCACGTGGGAGACTCTAATCTGAGAGTGCCTGTCTGCTAAACGTCCCCAAGGACACGGTGACACCCCTGCCTTTCCTGTGTGCTGGAGCTACTCCAGGAGTCGGGTCTCAGCAGGGGAGAAGCAGTTGAGGGACCTGACGGGGCTCGATCCCGGGTCAGCCACCTGGTACCGTGCCTGTACACAGATACAGGAGGAGCGCATTGCAAAATGAAAATGATCCACCAAGCGAAGCGCAAGTCGGCCCTCCTTTCTTCCAATTTGCAGTTGTAGGAATTACACCCTGCAAGCTTGTTTGCCATGCAGAGCAATGCTTCCTTAAGGAAGGAGTACTCTCCTTAATAGTTGACCTACTTGGACATGCGAGAGTAACACACATCGATGGCTTCCCTCCTCTGTAACCAGACCAGTTGCTGTCACGTTGACTTTGACGTGTGGCAGCCTCATGTTTGTCAGAGTAGAGTTGTGCTCTGCAGGGTTTGCAGTGGCTGGTTTCTTAAATATAGATTTCTAGACCTGTCTTCTGAGGCATCTCCGGGGACTTGAACCTCCAACCTTTTGGTTAGCAGTCAAGCACACTAACTGTTGCACTACCCAGGGGCTCCCTCTATAAAGGGCCCTTTCACTGCTCAGAGGTAGTTAGGAGCTGTGGCCTTGTTGACTTGCCTCTGCTTGGTGACAGATGATACTGCCTGGTAGTGACTGGCCAGCCATGTTGTCTGAAATAAGATCTCTTCCTGTAGTACATTTGGAAATTGTCCTTCTCAAGGGTCCCAAAATAGCTGGGCCACTGAAAGGAGAACTTCCTGAGAGGATGTGAGAGGGTCCCCAACCACGCCTCGCCCCAGCGGGCTTAGTTGGCATCGCAGACCGACCAGCGCGGTTGGTGCCAGTTGCCTTCCCGTCCTGCGTGGCTGCTGCACTCCCGTGTCCTCCCTTCTTGCAGCTTGTTCTGGAAATCTTCCTTTGGAGGTAGCCTGCCCTCCACCTCACCCTTTCTCTGCCAAGATTGCCAGTGTTTTGTCTTTGGGTCCAGTCCACGCTGTGTTGTCAGGAAGCTGTGGGGGCGGTGTGCTGTCAAGTTGATCCTGACTCATGGTGACCCTCCGGGACAGGGGAGCCCTGCCCCATGCTTGTCCTGTCAGGAGCTCTCCTACGTGCACAGGTGACAACGGTCACCTGGAAAAGAAACCTGTCTTCCCGGCTTGGGAAATTGGGGCCTCCCTTGTGCTCAACCAGGAGCTCTGGTGGCACGGTGCCTAAGACATTTGACTGCTAACCAGAAGGTTGGTGGTTCAAACCCACCAGCCACTCTGAGGAAGGAAGACTGGGCCATCTGCTTCCATAGAGTTTTACCGCCTTGGAAACCCAATGGGGGTGACTGAGTTGGGTTGGGTTTGTTTTGGTCTTGTGCTCGACAGATGCCCTGGCTGGGCCTGCTTTCTCTCTGTGCCCCTAGTTCTTAATGCTGGCCCCCGCAGCAGCCTCTGTAGGGGAGGGGGCGTTGAGGGCTGTGGAGCCGCCATGTGCCCTGGCCTTGGGCGGCCTGGCTGACCCCTGGGGACCGGATAGCTCTGTGGGAGGTCAGAGCGCTCATCACCTTGCTCTGCTTTCCTGTTCGGGGGCTTTCCCTCCCAGTTCCTGACTGGTCTGTGCTTCTCTTTTCGTTTTAGGAAGCTCCATCCTCTGCAAACGGCCCTTCCAGGGAAGGCTCCAGGCTGCTGCCCAGTAGAGAAGGCCACCCTGTGTACCCGCAGCTCCGACCCGGCTACATCCCCATTCCTGTCCTCCACGAAGGCATCGAGAGCCGGCGCCCTTTCCACGTCTATCCCCAGCCTGGGACGCAGCGATTCCGAACCGAAGCAGCAGCAGCAGCTCCTCAGAGGCCCCAGTCACCTCTGCGGGGCATGGGGGAGGCCGCCCCGCCAGAGAAACAGTGTGCACAGACAGCAGCAGCTGCGGCAGCCCAGCCCCTGACCACCCACAGGCCTGAGGTGAGGAGAGGCCTGGGCGCACACCTGAGCTGCTGGCCTCTCAGGCTGGGCCCTGGTCCTGATGCAGCACCTGGGCGGGGGCCTGCAGTGTCTGAGGTCACCTGACAAAAGACGCCCAACAGCCCCACGTTATCCCTGTTTCATGGGGGAGGGGCTGGGAGGGGTGGGATCACATGGCCTTCTTGTAGTTCAGGCATATGGGCTCAGAGAGATAAGATGCCTTGTCCAAGTGTGAGTGGCAGGACCAAGGGCCTGGCCTCCTGCTCCTTCCCTATTGTTCCTTAATTCACATCTGGTTTTCCACTTCAGAAACATGGAGGTAGCCGTGTGTCACTGTTGCATTCATCTCAGTACATATGCATAAGTACTAAGTGCTTGTATGAAAATGAGACACCATGCTTGCCCTCAGGTTCCTCACGGATCACGGATCTGCAGCTTCAAAGGATAGCCACACTGGGGGTCAAGGAGGCAGCAGCACTAAGACAGCTTTGAAGCCTGAAGCCGAACACCTCAGGGCGGGTTGATGGATGTGGGGACTGACTCTAAAGAACAGTCCTTGGCGCGGGGCTTGGCTAAGGCTGGAGGGCGGTGGACCCTGGCGGGATTCCCGTGCAGGCCCTCTCTGTTTTCCTGTCCGCACGTCATACCTGAGTCGCTGGCCCAGCTCTGCATACAGGCCCTGTTTCCTGCCTGCACCCAGAGCCATGTTGCCTCCCTCGGCTTTGTTCCCAATCTTTTTAGCTTCAGGGCCTGCCTGGCATGAGTGATTACAGCAGTGAGGACACCGGGAGGGGGCTTTGTCTTTTCCTGGGGAGCCACTGACCGCCATCCGCGAGGGGTGGACCCCGGCTCCTGGCACCCCCACATGGGGGCGGGTAGGACTGCGCTCCGGAGGGTGCTCGGTGGCTGATTTCTCGGAAGTGGATTACCACATCTTTCTTCCAGGGCACGTCTGGGTGGACTCGAAACACCCGCCTTTCTGTCAGCAGCTGAGACTGTTCACTGCACCACCCAGCAACTCCTTTCTTGGAGAAGCAGTACTTGTATTTGTAATGTTTGTGTTTTAAAAATCAAAAGTAGCCTATCAGCACATGACATATAAGAGAAATCGGAGCACGTTGAAGCTGGCAGGGCCCTTCAAAGCCAGCCTGCCCTGGCCACGCAGAGGGTGCAGATCCAGGGGTCAGTGGAGTTGTCTGCAGGCTAATAGAGAAAGGGGGTCAGGAGAGAGGGCACAAGTGCCACGTAGTAAGAACTAAGCCTGTGCCTCAGAACCTGCACTAAGCCACGTCCACAGACGTTGTTAGTTTTCAGAACGGCCCAGGGAGTGAGGGTCTCATCTCCATCTTTAGCCCAGTCTTGACACTATACTCTGAAAACCAGCATGTTTACAGATGGGAGGGAGGGGTCTTATGACATGTGTTGCCCCGCTGGCGTTGGAGCACCTTGGCAGGGCTCTGTGCACGGGGCCATGCCTGCCCTCTGTCTTGCAGTGATCATAGTCTCTGTGCATGGGGCCATGCCTGGCCTCTGTCTTGCAGCGATCGCAGTCTCTGTGCATGGGCCCATGCCTGTCCTCTGTCTTGCAGCGATCGCAGTCTCCGGCCGCCTCGGACTGCTCGTCGTCCTCTTCCACGGCCAGCCTGCCCTCCTCTGGCAGGAGCAGCCTGAGCAGCCACCAGCTGCCCCGGGGCTACATCCCCATCCCTGTGATCCACGAGCAGAACGCGGGCCGGGCCGCAGCCCAGCCCTGCCTCCACCAAGCCCAGAAGACCCACTACCCAGCGCAGCAGGGTGAATACCAGACCCACCAGCCCGTGTTCCACAAGATCCAGGGCGATGACTGGGAGCCCCGGCCCCTGCGAGCGGTGTCCCCGTTCAGATCCCCCGCCCGGAGCGTGTCAAGCCGCGAGGGCTCGCCAGCCAGAAGCAGCACACCGGTGCACTCGCCCTCACCCGTGCGTGTGCACCCTGTCGTCGACAAGCCTCAGGTATGGGAAGCTAGTTGTCGGCACACATGGAAGAACTCGAGCAGGTGCCTTGGGTACCCGTGGCAGAACGGGAGTAGGTGGGATTCTAGAAATGGCTGGTTTTCCTCAGAAACATAGGAGGGGGGCTGGGAACCCTCTGAACTTTCTCCAGCTTTTGCTTGGCTGAGCCATGGTTTGAGAGTTAGTCACTGACATCCTTGCCCATTAATCCTAAATACTTGAGCAAGTATTTCCTGAGAAGGCATTCGCACCCATAACCATAGTACAGTGATCAAATTCAGGGACTTTAACCTTGTTTCATTACTATGAAACCCCAGTCCATATTCAAATCTCCCTTCTGCAGTCCCCCCACGTCATTTCAAGATCTAATCCAGGACCACAGGCACTGCATGTGGCCATCATCTCTTCAGTCCCCTTCCAGCTGGAACAGTTCCTTGGCCTGTCTTTGCTTCCATGACCTTGACATTTTTTGAGAGTACAGGCCGTAGAATACCTTCTCCTAAGTATTTCCAGAGTCAGTTCCTCTTATGCAACTGTTGTTTTTAAAACCCAGAGAGGGGTGTGATTGGTTCATGGGTGGTGAGGGCCAGTGTTGAGGACTTCTGGGCTGGCCAGAGAGACCTGTTGGAGGTGGCTGGTGTTGGTCAGTGAAGTGTCCAGCAGATCTTTCCTCAGGCTCAGTAGCCCTGGGATAGAAGCACAGATGCTGCCTCACATAATGGGTGAAACCGCATCCAGTCCTGTTCTCACCACCTTCCTGTGGTACATGGTGCCCTCTCTTTGATGGTTTAATCAGATATCCCTGTTTGGAGGCTTGCGAGGATTTGACCTACCTGAACCTGAGGGGAGAGTGACCGCTTAACCGAGCAGTGTTTCAGCAGTCACGTAGGCCAACTGTTACTTCCCAGTTGATGGAATTAAGGTGTCTGAGCTTTTAAAGGCTGTTGGGAGGTTTGCACCCGTGACAGAAGAGCCAGGATCGTTCTGTGTTCAGCACAGCTCGGCTGTGGATGCGTGGCTCTCGCTGTCGGTCCCATTACAGAGGATCCTGGCCTGTACCAGATAGTCAGTGTGAAGATGGTGCGTCACGGCCAAGCCAGCTCTGGCACAGGCATGCTAATGCAGGTTCTGAGAGGGTTAACTATTTTGGGCGTCTTGCTTATTCTTGAAAAACACATCCGTCTGGGCAGAAACCATGAGACTCTCATGGGTTTGAAAAAAACCACTGCTGCTGCTGCCTGTTGCATCGATTCCAACTCGTGGCAGCGCTGTGGGTGCAGGGTAGGATTGTGCGTCACAGTTTTCAAGGCTGTGACCTTTCAGGACCAGGTGGCCAGGCGTGTCTTCTGAGGGACTTCTGGGTAGGTTCGAACTGCCAGCCTTTTGACTAGTGGTTGAGCACTTAGCCCCAAGTTTATGTCACCCAGGGATTCCATTAAAAACAAACAAACAAAAACAGGCTTTAAAAAAAAAAAAAGGTGTCTTAGTGTCTTTGATGAAACAGGAGGTGAGAATGTTACACCCTACACAGAGATGGTCTCCGTGGTGGAAGAAGGGGGTACAAGTAGCACTTTGTCCATGGCAGTATCACCTGGACGTAGGAATCCCCCAGCCCTTGCCTTAACTGTGGGGACTGAATTAGCTCACCGTTTTTGAGTTTTCATTTTTGAAAATATATTGGTTTTCTTTTCTTACGTTTGCTCTAAGAATACTTCCTACAGAGGTTCAGTGGGAGGTGACAGACAGACAGACCAAGGTCATAAATGGAAACAGCAGTGGTTTGGCCCCTTCGTTGTTTAATTCTTTTTTTTTAAACTTTCCTTATGTTGGGAAGGTTTTTTCTTTTTAAAGGAAAACCAAAGGCGGCACCAAAACCCCCTTTTTTTTGGTTTTGCTTTGCACTGGTACTAGTTGCAAGCGACTGCCTACGACTTAGTTATTAAGCATATCTCTGTGTCCTGTCTTCTTCTCAGCAGCCAATGACCCACCAAGAACCTCCACCTGTTGCCCAGCCTGAAAACAAACCAGAAAGTAAGCCAGGCCCCGCTGGACCAGATCTCCCTCCTGGACACGTCCCGATTCAAGTGATCCTCAAAGAGGCAGATTCTAAGCCTGTTTCCCAGAAGCCCCCACCAGCCTCTGAGAAGGTGGAAGTCAAGGTCCCCTCTGCTCCAGTTCCTTGTCCTCCCAGCCCTGGCCCTTCTGCCGTCCCCTCAGCCCCTAAAAATGTGGCTGCAGAAGAGAAGGCAGCCCCCAGCCCTGCCCCCACAGAAGCCGCACCTCCAAAAGCAGGAGAAGCCGAGGCCCCCCCAAAACATCCAGGTGTGCTGAAAGTAGAAGCCATCCTGGAGAAGGTGCAGGGGCTGGAGAAAGCCGTGGACAACTTCGAAGGCAAGAAGACCGACAAAAAGTACCTGATGATAGAAGAGTATTTGACCAAAGAGCTACTGGCCCTGGATTCGGTGGACCCCGAAGGGCGAGCCGATGTGCGTCAGGCCAGGAGAGATGGCGTCAGGAAGGTTCAGACCATCCTGGAGAAACTTGAACAGAAAGCCATAGATGTTCCAGGTCAAGTGCAGGTTTATGAACTCCAGCCCAGCTCCCTTGAAACCGATCAGCCACTGCAGGAAATCATGGAGATGAGCACCAAGGCAGCAGACAAGAGTAAGAAAAGTTCCGGCAACAGAGAGGATCCCCAAACTGAAACCCAGCAGCCAGAAGCCAAAGAAGCGGCAGCTCCAAACCCCCCCACCACGACAGACACAGCTGGTAACCCAGCAGCACCATAGTCCCCACTGAGGCAAAACTGGGCCCAGAGACTTGGAATTGATTGAGTGCTTTAGGGAGTTTAAGTTGCATGCATTTCAGGGCCTGAGATAAGTTGGTTTTTGTTCTTCATAGCCACGTGGTGTGCAGTAATAAAACTCGGTGGAGGCAAGATGCTCGTAAAGGGCTAAAAGGAGGATGATGCTTTTCTTCTCTATCCTTACTCTGTGCAAAGGAGGTCGCTTGTGGTTTCAAAGCTTAACCCCATCGCTTCTTGTCTGGGCCCTCTCTATGCATGGGTACCATATGTTAGCCATAGCCAGGAGCTGTCATCCTGTAGCTCTGGACCGAAGCAGTGTTTTTGGGAGTAGATGGGAGTCAGCTTTCCCATCACATAAGTACCAAGTCTATTCTTGAGAAATGTTGCCATTTGAATGGGATGATTGTCTTCATCTCATAGTTAAAATACCTGATCTTTAGATAGAAGAAAATGTGTAAGGAGCCATAGAGGTATCTGTATGTTGGATGACTTTAATTCTACATTCAAAAAAAGAAAATAAAATATTACTATAACTCAAAAGTATTCTTTGTGGTTTCTCACACTCTGGAAAGAGTGGTCGCTTCCGGATTGCCAATCAGAATAACTGGCAGGCACAATCGCGAGCCTGCTTTGGGTTGCAGAAGGTCTCTGCTGGCCCCGCTTGTGAGAGAAGAGGTCTCTTGGTTTTCCGTCTCAGGTTCCGCTTGGAACCCAGGGCCCATGAACTCAGGTAGCAGGACTGTGCCCACTACACCCCTTCACGCTGCCCCAGCCAATGGCCAAGGAGCTACTTGTGCTGCTTCTGTGCCTACCCAGCCTCAGGCCACTCTCAGGCTGCACCAGGGGGCTAACATGGTTCCGATGTGCTCAGGGGAGTGAGTTTGCAGAATTGCCTGAGGCTTGCCAAAACTTCTGTGGAGTCCAGGTCACTAGGGGTTGGAAATGGGCTCTGTGGGAGTCTTGGGGTCATCTTTATTTGGTACCTGTGACTCACCAAACCAGATCTGCACCAAGTTGATCTTCTCAGATTGAGTTCCTAGAAGCCACTTGGGTTAGGGACCAACTGTACACAGAAGCCACTGGGTGGAAGAAGGTGCTCTTCCTGGGCCAGTGCTTCTTCAAAGCCTGAGAAGGACCACAGCCCCAGAATTTGGAGATGTGTGTTAGATTTTCTTTAACCACTTGACAAACTTGAAAAGAAAGCAAAAGATGGGCCTGAGGTCTTGGCAATCCCAATGAGTATCCTAACTTAAGAGAACTGGGCTGAATTCTCATGACTGTATGGAGTTTAATGTTGGTGCCTGACTATGCTGCACAAAAATACACACTGGTGTACTTGCCACTCTTAGCTTGCTGAGATACATTGACGTCATCCAGATGGGAGTGTGCCAGCATCATTCCTGGGCAAACTCATTGGGGAGTTCAAGCTGACTGCTAAAGACATGCCACTGATTCTAGAAACAACATGTAAACAGAAGGAGCTACCAAACTATTTTTAGAATGAGCCATAGGTAAAGGATGTGACCACTTCTTTTTGGGACTTGGACATCTGGGTGGCCTGAAGACAACATCAAGGCTCCTGTAGTGGTTACTGAGTTAAGCTGACATTTTTATCACTGAACATCATCAGTAAGTAGCCCTTCCGTGTGGGTAGAGTGTTTTCAGTCATCCAAATTAAATGAGACATGCACCTCAGGATAGGGGTGTCTTGGCCTATCTGTTGGTGGTCCCTGGGCCTTGCATGGAAGCAGTAGGTCAGGCATTGAGCTGGCTGCAAGAGTTGCTAACATAATTGTCTCAACCCCTGTAGGAGTCAGGGGACAAATCTGTTGATTATCTGCCAAGTAGCTGGGACTTTCAGCTTTTTAATAATCCCAGTACCTTTTGGAGAACGTCGTATTTAGAGCAGAGTCTTGAATCTGGGTTCAGATCAGCTTCGTGGGGCTGGACGGGTTCTATAGTCTCCCTTCCTGATTGCTCATTTGTAAAATGAGGAAAAATATTAAATAATTGTAGAGATTGAAAGTGGTACTGGTATGTGACCAGAGTTGGCTCTTACTAACATCTTGTTTTACAGTTGACACAGGAAGACTTGCCAGGAGCTGAGACAGCATTTGAATCCAGGTCTGTGAGCCATCAAAGGCTACTCTGGTGTCCCACTGTGCACCGTGTGGACTGTGGTAAATGAGGGAAAGGACCATCCCTTATCTCTTCCCAGTTCCACATTTGTTGCTTGTAAATTGCATCAGCATCCTTGGTGATGTCTATTCTGACAGCCACATAGAGCCTTCACTGTGGTCTAGATCCCTACTTTGGTTTTAAACTGCTCTCATTCTTCCTCTTGCCTTTGTGTCCCCATCTCACTTTTGATGTCTACACGCACCCTGTCCACCCACCTGTCCAGATCTCGCCCACCCTGAAGCCCACCTCTTAGTGAAACCTTCCCTACTTGGACTGCATGCTTGCTCACAGACTTTGTCACTCATCACCCTGTTGTCTACGTGCTAGTGCTGTCATTTTCTGGATGTTTTAAAGTCTTTGCCATTTCTTCAACAAGACTCAAGTCTTCTGAGGGCAGGACCACTCTGACCCCTCCTGATCCCCAGTGTTGTCTAGACTTGGGCACGTAAAGCACCCCGGCTAACTACGACACCCAGAAAGTCTCGACTGAAGATCTGATGACTCCAGGGCTGACCTGGTGTTTGCTCAGTAATTAATATCACCCGCTGTCACTTGACGAGTAGAGAATCCAGCTTTCCCACCAACTCTCCCCTGTAATCCCCAGATGTGTAATTGGGGCCAAGTTCTTTCTTTCTGGGCCTCACTCTTGCCCTCTGTACAAGGAGGGCATTGACCAAGGCCCCTCTTGGTGTTTTGGATGATTCTGGTAAGTCCACATATCTTACTTTTGTGGCCTCTGCCCTTGGTGTTTCTCTATCCCCACCCAGTCCTGGAGCCTAGCATGGCGCCCCATTGTGGGCTGCACATTCCTGCAGGCTCCCGTGTGAACGTGGACGGTCTGTCTGCTGTTCTGTAATATTATACAGATGGAACCGTATGCCAGCGGACGGGAGCCAGGGCTGCAGTTATTTTGGGATGGGCAGGAGCCTGTGGGAAAACGCTGGGGCATGTCTGAGTCACTCGGGCAAATACCTTTCTTTCCGTGTTCCAGCATGTTTTGAACTTTGAGGTAGCACAAAAAAAGCTCAAGCCGGCGCACACACCCTTTGTGATATGGTGTGCCCTTCCTGAGCAGCGTTTGCCTCTCCTCCACCTAAGCCGCCACATCCCCTGGGCTCTGAGAAGTTAAAGTGCAGAGGGGTGAGAGGAGCCTGGGCCTGTGCCAGAGCCGCATTAAGCGCCTTCCTAAGCATGGAAAAGAAGCACCCTGGTCGTGTAGTGGTTAAGGACTCTACTGCTAACCAAAAGGTCAATGGTTTGAACCCCCCAGCTGCTCTGTGGGAGAAAAATGTGGCAGTCAGCTTTCTTCAACATTAAAAACCAAGGCTGTAAATTTTCACGGAGGTAGACTGCCTCATCATTCCTTCACGGAGCAACTGCTGGGTTTGAACCACTGACCTGATTAGCAGCCAAATGCCTTAAACACACCACCAGAGACAGCTTTGGAAACCTTATGGGACAGTTGTACTCCGTCCTCTAGGGGACCTGTGAGTCAGAATCAACTCACTGACGGGGGTAAACATGGAAAACATTGTGATGCCTCCCCCATCTGAAATAAAAAATAAAACAATACTAAACATCAAACCATGTATGAAAGCAAATTCCAGATGGATTGAGGAATTAACTGTAGAGAGCAAAATGTTAACGTGTATTAAAGAAAAAAGTTAATGTTTTATGCCCTTTGTGAAGCCAAATATTGAAAAAAAAAAAAAAAAAACCTAAGCCACAAAAGAAGTATATGAGATGGAATTTCCTGTGTTACACCTTGTTGCTTTAACAGTCGTTGAAAGTCGAGTTCCTCCAGTTAATGTTTGTGTGGTTAGCTGTGTGCCTCTGCTCTCCTGGTCCTCTGAGCCACCTGGTGCCCAGCGCTGCCACAGAAACCAGTGGAGACCAGGAGGAGTGGCTTCAGTCCCGGGGAGGGTACCGAGCAGGAGGATGAGGGACCACAGGTGGGAAGCCAGCAGTGGTGCCCACCCCACCCTCCGTGGAGGGAACGGCGTGGGAGCTGCAGGCCACCTGCACAGGAGCCCAGAACAGGTGGGGCTCCAGTTCCAGGTGGAACTGGGAGCTAACCTGAAGGACAGGAGGTGCAGAGGGGTCAGAAAGAGTGGTCCTTTCTCGCTCCTTGTCCACTCGAGCCACCGCTGTTACCTGATGCCTTCTCTCTCCTGCAGCCCTGTTGCTGACAAAGGGGGTCTCCTTTAGTTTAGAGAGACATCCTACCGCTGGCCTTTCCCTCGTTCTCTCCCAGAGTCCCTGGGTGGCATAAATGGTTAACACACTCAGTTGCTGACTAAAAGACTGAAGGTTCAAGGCCACACAGAGGTGCCAAGGAAGAAAGTCCTGTGATCCACTTCGGAAGAGTCAGCTGTTGAAACCCCTATGGAACACAATGCGGTGACACACAGAGTCACCGTGAGCTGGAGTCCACAAGACAGCAACTGGTTTTTTGTTTTCTTTCGGTTCATATCTCTCTTCTGGCTGCTTCCTTCTTCGCCTACAGATAGCACAAACCAAAAAGAAACATTTCATGTTTCTTCCTCAGTTTACCTCCCTTTGTCCTCAAGTACACTGAATAATCTGAGAAGCTGGACTATGAAGAAGGCATCATGATTGGAGGAAGTCTCGTTAAGAACCTGCGATATGCAGATTGCACAACCTTGCTTGCTGAAAGTGAGGACTTGAAGTACTTAGTGATGAAGATCAAAGACTACGGCCTCCAGTATGGATTACACCTCCT